TTGATTTTGTTGTGATGGACAACTACTTATTTATATTAATTAAACATGATGGAAGATGGGATCCTTCAGGTTAGTATTTTTTTATAGTTTATTGTTTGTATTTGTATTTCAGTGAAATGAAAAAGAAATTGAGCAATGAAACTGTAAATCACATTTTGTGATTTTATTTTTGTAAATCGTCAGTAGATTTAAGTTGTGATGTTATTTGTATAAACAACGTATTTTGTTGATAATAAGTAATAATTTTTTTTGAAACTGTAGTTATTGATTTTGTTGGTACATGTTTTCTTTTTGTTATTTTGTATACTGTAAAAATCAGGCATTAGTGCGAAATTGGCTTAATATATGAATGAGTTGTAGTTTTATTGTTGTAAAGTTATGAAATTTGTGGGGGGGGGGGGGGGATGCAAATTTTATGATTTAGCAGCTTATCTAGAACTTCACATGATTATTTGCTTGCAGAGAAGGTATACCAGTTCAACTTGCACATGATGGATTGAGGATCCCTGTTAACCTATAAAGAGGTATGATAATATCTCGGACATGTCTTCCATGATATAACTTCCTTAAATTATCTACTTTCATTAGAGAATATTAGGTATATGACTGTAAACCAAGAAGCATGTAACTTCTCAATGATTGTGGTATACAAATTAGCTCTTCAATGGTATATTGGATTTTAGTAACAATCTAAGCGACTGCAATGTTCTTATTCTATGCACTTCGAAACCTAATGATTTTGACATCATTTGAAAATGCTAATTATCAGTAGTGTATCTGTCAGTATGACCAAAAGTATTCAACCATGACCTCAGTTATCGTTGATTAAACAGCCAGTCACATGATAGAGAAGGACAAGCTTAATGATAGTCTTTCACGGAATGTCAAATTATAGGCCTTGATATAGAAGCTTCTTCTGCCTTGTTATTACACTATTCTAGATGACATCTGATTGGTCAAAGATTGCTCTGTTTGGCATGACAAAAAATGTTTTCTCAAGTTTAGTGATCTAAACTTGTACCAATGTTGTTTTAGGATGAGAATTAGTTTTCTCTAGCTGTTCTATTCTTACAACACTCAACTTGCTACCTCCAACTATTTAGTATTGTATCAGTTTTTGCTACTTGGAACTAGTATCAATTGTTAATTAACATATGTTACCTGCATTTTCACGACTCCCACAGTTACTACCTTTTATGTAAAATTATTGGTGAAATAGTTTTCTTTTGTAAAAAGTATATACATACAGAACATTCTATGTTATAGTGACTAACTCATAATCTCAACCAGATGATACTGCTGAATGGACAAAAGAAAATATGCCTAAAGACTGAGTAAAGGCTCTGAGAGCATCCTTTTGATCTGTTAGTGCAAGTAGATTATATACATGGAAATAGTTGGGACATGATGTAGCATTGATGTCGATGTTCACCAGATTATACTTGTGTATGTTGTTGCATTTTCTCAAGAATACTAGGTGTATGGAGTTGAATATTAATCATTTGTTAAGCTTATACGAAAATGAAGCTTTGGGTGGCAATTTCATTTTCATTTCCTGAATCTGAGAATTAGTACTCCGCTCCGGAAATAATGATAGCTAGAGCCTAGAGAGAGGTATCAAAACATGGTAGCCTAGCTGGACCTCGCGACTTTTGAAGTCATTAGTCTGCAATGGCGTAGTTAAACTGGGTTGGACCAATCCGTTTTTGCAGCTGTAATAATTGTAGGAGCATAAAGGACTAGCAAATATGCACATTGATCCAACTTCAATTGCTAAATATATCATTTTAATATTCCTGAATTAAGTATTCTTTCTCGAGTTTTATCAAAGTTGGATCTAGCTTTGCAACATGTTCCTAGTGGGAGAGGAGGGTGCTTAAGTTCAAGGGATGTTGGCATTGATTTAGCTGATTAATCTTGTACATAAGTGGCTCACTTGCTCTAAATTATGATTTTAGGGAACAAATGAATGATTTGTTTTTTCATCATTATGTAATGATATAATAATATATATA